GGGGGGAAAGGCTGGGGGAAGGTGGGGTTTAGCAGAATGAAAGAGAGAGACTGTGGTGTTCTTTCTTCGGGGTTGATTGTTCCCAGATGTGCAGTTGCAAAAACATCTGGCACAGTTGGAGTCGCCGGACCCCTGCGCGGAGGGGAGAGGAGCTGGGGGGGGGGAGCACCTCGCGTCCCTTCCGGGGCATCTCACCCGGTTGCTTTGGTGGTAGGAAAAGCCAAAGGTGGGGAAGAAGGAGGAGGAGGAGGAGGAGGAGGAGGGTGGAGGTGGCCCCGTCCCCTCTTTGAAGACTTTGGGTTTAAGGAAAGTGTCACGACGACCCTCTGCATCTCGGCATCGCTCCCGGCTGGGTTTGGAGGTGGCGGCGGGGGCCTCAGTGTCCTCCGTCGAGGGGGGGAAGACGTTGGCATCGCCTTCGGGAAAAGACGTGACCCGTCTGTCCCCGTTCCCCAGCCAAACCCTGCGAGCTCGGTCCAAGATCTCCGTGTTCGGGGGAAATTCAGGGGGAGTTAGACCTCGAGAGAGGCCTTGGGCGCGTGCAGACTGCTTTGGGGTAAAAAAGGGGCTGGCAGGGCAGGTTAATCCGTGTGTGGCCGTGTCCTTGGGCTCGCTGGAGCGACGGGAGGATGGGGTGTGTGATGCCTCCAGAGGTGGGCATCCATCTGCCCCCCAGCCTTGCCCCAAGCTGGCCTGGGTGGGATACAGGTGCCAGCCCAGGGCAGTTTGGGGCCACAGGACGTTGGCACCGGCATCCCGTGGGATCCCGGCATCTGGAGAACTGACAATGGTCAGGATGGGCATCTACAGCCCCTTTCTCTTGCCTCGAGGTACCCCCAAACCCCTGTAGCAGCCCTGTCCTGGCCAGGACCCAGCTGCTTTCCCAAACCCAAGGTCTGCCAGCAGTCACTAAGGCTTGATAAAGCCTCCCGGACCGCGGCCAAGCACCCGCCAAGCCCAGAGCTGCACGTTGATCTCGCTCATCCCCGCGCAATCCCTTTTATCCTAGGACATGTTTTGCCTCGGTTAAACCCAGGTCTGGGGCTTCCTTTGCCATGGGAAGCAGATGGGGCTGGTGGGACGCAGGTCCCACCAAGATGCAGCCATGGGTTGGTGATGGGGCACTGCTGGGTGCTTCGTTTGGGGCCACCAAACTCTGCGTGTCGGCTGAGCTTGGTTATCTGATCAGGTAGGGACCAACTTTCTGGCTTTCCCAAATCTGGGAAGGGTCTGGAAGTCGGTTGTCAACGTCTCCAGTACCTGTGAGCCTGGGGATGGAGGAGGATGTGATGCCTAGAAGATGCAATTACAGTGGTGGTGCAAGGGCATGGTGGCTAGAAGGTGCCATGCTTTGGTGACAGTGCAGGACAAGGTCCCTAGGAGATGCTACGTTTTGGTGATCCTGAGGACACGGTGGCTAGAAGGTGCAACACTGTGGTGGTGGCGCATGACGTGGTCCCTGGAAGGTGCTGTGCTTTGGAGATGGTGCAGAGTGTGGTGCCTGAAAGGTTTGGTGATGGTGAGGACGTGGTCACTAGAAGGTGCCACAGTCTGGTGATGGTGCCCAGCCCCATTGACACACCCCCACACACCCCCTTTCCCCAGTGTGGTCTTAAACCCAGCAGGGACCGTGCTGGGGCTGGAGCCATGTCCTGGGGTGGGTGCCCTGGCTGCCTCCTGGTGTGGGGAGCTCGTGTTCCCCCTCAGCCAGGGCAAGATACCACTGGGGTTGGTTGGCTTATTTCCACCGTGCCTCAGTTTCCCCGCTCCAGCAGCAGAGGCAGGAGGGGTTCCCCATCCTTGCAGCATCTCAGCCCATTGGGAAAGCCAACAGGCTTTATCCCCAAGAGCCAAATGTGTTTGGTTGGATTTCAAAGGTTTTGGGGGAACTCCTCTTTTTCCCCCCGATTTTCCCCCCTCGAGCTGGCTTGGGACGAGGGGGAAGGGCAGGCAGCATCCCTGCCAGCCCGTGGCGGGGAAGGGGCCCGGCTCACCGGCGGCACAGCCGGCCTTGGCCCGTCTCCCCGTCGGGGAAAGCAGACGCTCGACATGGAAATCGTCGCTTGGAAAGCGCGGAGGAGCCGTGAGCTCCCAAGGCTGCCAAGCCCCAGCGCCGGCGCGGGATTTTTCTTGAAAGCAGTTTTTCCTTCCTCAAATCTCCGCATCCCCTTGGATTTAGGGGATGCCCAAGGACACGCCGTCATCCACCGGTGACAGGCACCCACAAAATAAGCCCTTGGCCCAGGAGCGGGGCTGAAAGGCCCAGGGAGGAGCCCCCAAACCTCCAGCTCGTGGATCCGTTATCACCGGGGGTTCCAGATGTCTCCCCCATGGCGGTGATTCAGACATCCCGGCATTTCACATCCCTGTCCTGCCCGCAGGATATTTCAGGGCTTGGTCTTTGCAATTTCCCCCCGGGAGCGCATGGTCAAGGCGGAAAGCCCAGCCTGCCTTTTTTGTGGGAGAAGTTTGGGGTTTTTTTTAGGGTTTGGGGTTGTTTTTTTGAGCCAGCCTCTGGGGGAATCTCGGGCAGAGATGCAAGGAGTGTCATGCTGGGCGGGGGGCAGAGAGGGGCTGCTGTAAGGGATGAAGAATCGAGGGGTGTGGGGGGCCGTGTGCCCCCACCTCCTGCTAACCCCTGTGTGTTTTCCTCTGCCCCATCCAGACTCCTCCGGCTGCATCCCGGCCTGCGCTGCTCCTCCATCGCTGCTGTCAGAATGAGAGCGGTGGGGCTCTTCTTGCTGTGTCTGCCAGGTGAGTGCCCCCTCCCCAGGGGTCCCCAAGGCAAGGTGACACCCCGTTAAACCCCAGGAGCCAGCCACCACCCCTAGTGATACCTGGGTGCATTCACCCATCTGGGGGAAGCATCACCTCATTGCCCATTCTACCTCAAAATTAACCCAAAATCGCAGCATAGGCTTATATTTAGGCTGGGACTGACTCTAGGTTGGGGGGACACAAGAGGGTACAGGGGGTCTGGCACCAAGCAAGTCCCTCTTGCTTCAGGGACATTGAGGTGGCACCATGAGGTGGCACAAAATTGGCACTTCGGGGCTGGGCCGACATCCAGAGAAATTATATTTGTAACCCCCCGGGGGCCTGGCAAAGGCGGGATGGAAACAAGGAGGGAGGCGACGGACCCGGGAGCCTGGAGCCAGGAAAACTTTGGGCGAAACCAGCTCGGCACAAAGGCTAGTGAGCAGATGGAAAACATTAAGCAGGCGAGGCCAAGGGAGCCTGGGGAAGGGGGGGGCAGCGTGGGGGGTAGTGGGTAGAAAAGATAAGTCCTGTCCCAGCATCATTCCCAGCGGTGCTTTGCTCATGGATGCTGCCTCTTGCAAAGACACAGCAGGGCGGGGTGTGCGGCGGCTGGATGGACCATGGGGCATCACGGCTTGTCCCGGAGATGGGTCCCTGCTGTGCCCTGGGGATCGGGGTGACCTGATC